CAAGTTCACTGGACTTATCCAACAAAGGATTCCATACAAGACAGTAAAACTAATGTCTATGGGATATATCCTCTGAAAAATGATGGTGCATGTGATCATTGGACTTGAGATCACTAGAGCGCCATGTGTAATTATTGATGTAACTTGACACTAGCCTAACATAGTCTTGTTCGGGGATTACCAGAACGGTGGTCGTTGGTGACATTAAGAAGTACGCCATGACTATGGTGGATCAACAAAGGATTCATCACTCCTGGTTATAGGAGATGTTATCTCGGTGAGATATTTGGCTACTAGCTACAACCACAAATCTATGGCCATAATAGAATCGAGTTGATGATCGAATCCAATTTTACATAGTCGTAGATTTGACAATCGAATATATGCATATCAAGGTATATTGTTTGAAGTTGACACTATTTCTGTACTTCAAGCCTTGATGAGATAAATGATGATGAAAGGATTGAATTGCAAGGTAACCATACTGTAGAAAATGTAGCAACTTTGCTGAATTGTTATTTGTTGGGTAATCATGATGCCTTGCTAGAGGCCAATCCTGATTGGTGTATGGAACACTAATTAATTGATGCTTAATTATGTATCGGGACACTGCCAACAAAATAAAGAGCTTTCGGGTCACACACATTGAAAGTAGTTTAAGAAGAGAAAACAAAATGAAGGGTAATTTCATCTTTCAGACGAAAAGGGTATTTTGGTAATTTTACTGTGCGATTAAATTCCCTAAAAAGGTCGTTGCCAACATTCAATATTTATATTGAAATTAATTCAGCAAAATCAAAACTATATTAATATTAATATGTAATATGTAATAAATATATTTAATTTAATTAAATATACTAATCCCGTTAATTAAATAAATGGTTATATTTATTTAAATAGGAATATGTATTTAATTAGGGAATATCCTATTCTAAAATAGGAATTGGGATATTCCTTTTCTAGTGGGATTATCATTTATTTATACTATATAAAGGAAACTATGGGACTTTATTTTAGTACAACTAAAATTTGCCTCTACCCAAGAAACCCTAAACGCCTACACCCTTCTTGAAGAGAGAAAATTTTTCTCTCATATTTTCGTGGCCTCGCTTGGAGCAATTGAATCAATCTAGCAATTGATTCAATTGTGTTTTCATCCTGCTTTTGTGTGGATACTATCGTGTCTGATTCTGCCTTGAATCATTAGTGAAATCCGGGTTTTTAATCCAGAGAAGGAGCCACCTAAGAAGGCATAATTGTAATAACTGCTGTATACTATTAAAATATATGTACAATAATAAGAGTAAATGGGCCCAAAAATTTTCTTGTATTATGTATATACATTCTTTGTACAAAAGAGTATCATTTACAAAATGCTATTCAAAACAGGGGACATGTGGCTATAACTCCTCGCTTGCCGACGCCCAACCGACTGCAACATCACCTAGATCCTGCAGCCACAAAGGAAAATAATGGGGTGAGCATAAAATAATGCTCAGTAAGTAAGTCCTCTACTTGTCTATCCCCGTAACTATTTCTCTTAATTCTTTCCTTACACTAGTTCTGTTTCTGTTTCTTTTTCACACAGCTTTCTTTCTATTAACCTCTGCTATATGTCATGGCCTCATCTTGCCGGAGGCACGGCCTGGTGGAGTTCAAACAGCACCAACTAAGGCTAGTTAACGAACCGAGCTGCTCGCGAGCCAGCTTAGCTCGGCTCGAGTCTGGCTCGTTAACGGCTCGGTTCGTTTGATAACGAGCCTGCTCGACTCGGCTCGTGAGACAAAACAAGCCGAGTTTGAGCCATACAAGGCTTGGGTCGTCGGGCTCGTGAGCCGCGCCTGGCTAAAAAAACGGGAGTGTTTTTGAAAATTTCTGAAACATTGGGACTTAATTGAAATAATGCAAACAAGTTTTGAAAAATAACAAACTGGCCCCTATTATTAAAATCCCCAAATCGCAAAAAATCTGTCACACTCGAACCCTTGCCGTAAAATTTGAATCAAATCCTCCCAAAGTGTTGATTTGCGGCCAGATCTTGTTCATCTTCGTTAGCTTCGCCGGATCTTCGCCGGATTTGTTCATCTTCGTCGGACCTTTGACAGCCATTGGATCTTTGTCAAATTTTCGTCAGATCTGAACTGGATATCGTCGGTTCGTCATCAGTCCTAGCTGGTCGATTGGGATTTAACTTTTTGTTTGGGGTTTGGGGTTTCTTCAATTTTTGTCAAATTTTAACTTGTTTTTTGTGATTTGTTAGTCTGTAACAGGGGGCTTTTTCCAGTGAAAGAATTCAGGAAGAGCAGTCTATGAAGAGTAGTGCCATGGTGGTGTTGCTATGAAACCCATACAAGGTTAATGCTTGTGTATATGTGAAGAGTAGTGCCGCGTATGGGTCTGTTTGACTGTTTATTTAAATTGCTTTACTGACATTCAAATTGTTTGTGAATTATGATTGTGGTTGGGTTGCAAAAAAAATTCAATTGCAGTTTGTTAATGGTTGACTGGTTGTTATTTAATTATTATGGTTTGTGGGAATGTGGTTATGGCGTTTTGCATTTGTTGGTGGGGGCTGGCCGACAGGTAGTTTTTAAATGTGTTTGTGGCTTGTTGTGGCTTATGGGAATGTGGTCTTGCATCTGGTGGTGGGGACTGGGGATTTAAAAATTTGTCACTGACATGTGGGAATGTGTTAGTGTGGGGTAAAGAAAGCAGAGCTAGCACCTTAAATATTAAATATGAGTAGATGAGATTTGTGTTTGTATGTATTCATTCTTGCTACAGAAAATAAAATTTAATTGGGGCAAGTAATGTACAGTAATATAAATGCCATCTAAGTTCCCCTGTACATTAAAGGTCCCATGTTTACATTGATGCTCAAATCTGACTCAAATTGATTGCCAAAGGAAGATAGTTGATTTAGTAACCCTTTAGTGTTTGAACAATGGTGTCAAATGGGCCTTTTCCTGTCACATTGTGTTGAACTACAAATCCCAAAATGCCAACAACATATAATCTCCCTGCATATTCAAACATCATTTATTATCGGCACACATAAAGCCCACCCCGTTAAGTATAATGAGAAGCTTAAGTAAAAGCATGCTTAGAAGTGAGCAAAAATAGGAAATGCAATTTGCACTAATGTGGGGTCCGCTTGGTCCACTTCAGTCTAGTATAGATGAAATGGGGATCTACCTTGGTTTTGTGTGTATTCTAAGCAGTTACTGTAAAATTATCTATATTTTTTACCCTTAAATGTAAAGTAGATAGAAAAAAAGATCAATGGAATATGCATTTCAAAACAATACTAAAGAAGGTTTTAGACTCAAGATTCACTCAAAGGAACTTCTGCATGGGCCCCCAGAGGGGTCATTCAAGCTCTTGTGGAATCTGGTTCTCTTAACTAGAATAGAAATAAATATACATGTTATATAGCATGTGATTATGATGATAATGGAGAAATACATGATATGTGTGAAACAGATTATTCTTCAAAACTTACTTTGCATAGAACAGATGATTTCCCAATCTGGCCTAGTGACTCACATGGAATACGGGGTGAGTTTCTTAATATGGCATGGCATAGCAGCACATAGATTTATGTACCCTTCCAATTTATTTACATAAATTAAGTTTATATATGCAACTTTAATGAATTCAAAATAAAACATGTTAAATTCAAAATATTATAACATGTGAAACTTAATCAAACATGATACAAAACCAATGTCTCTAATTAAAGAATGAATGAATGTTGGGATGTATTGGTGACAATTAATATTGGTGTGCAATGTATAATGTATTGGTTTGATGTGTGTGCAATGTAATAGTTTGACAATATTTCATATTGGTTTTGCATTAAATTGTTGATTTTTTTTATTTTTTTATTTATAGGTTTCTAAATGGAGGGTAATTCCTTAAGTACCCCTGCAATACAAGATACAATTACCGATACACCCGACAGTATTAATAGCCTAGATAATGAAAATCAAAATCAAAATCCGATTCAGAAGCAAAAAAGAGCGAAGACTTCAGTGGCATGGTCGGAGTTTAAGGAGGTGGTACTCCCTAATGGCACCAAAAAGGCTGAGTGTATCCATTGCAAAGTCAAGTTGTGTATTAATGACACCGGAAGCACCACCCAATTCAATAGACACTTAAGCCGGTGTTTAAGGAGAAAAGCTTCCATGAGGCAACAACATATTAGTTTTCCGAGTGCTAGTAATAATGTTCCAACTACTATTTTGCCAGCTTTAAGTGGGAAGTTTGACATGTCGAAAATGAGGGAATTGATCGCCCATTGGGTACTTATGCATGAGCATCCATTTACAGTTGTGGAGGAAGAGGGCTTGAACAATATGATGAAGTATAGGATTCCTGGATGGACTCCGGTTTCCCGCCACACTTGTAAAAAAGATTGTATGAAGGTATATGAAAGTGAGAAGGCCAAATTGAAGACTTTGTTGAAGACTGTGACAAAAATCAGTTTGACTACGGACTTATGGAATTCAGGGAATCAAAAGATGGAGTATATGGTGTTGACCGGGCATTGGATAGATAGTAGTTGGAGGCTGAATAGACGTATCCTCAACTTTGTTCGTCTACCTCCTCCCCGGACTGGTATTGCGATTGCGGATGGCATTTTCAAGTGCCTAATGGGATGGGGAATTGAAAATAAGGTATATACTATTTATGTGGATAATGCTTTAAGTAATGATGTTGCGATTAAGGTTTTGAAGGAAAATTTTGAAGTTTCGGGGAAACTCCTTTGTGGAGGTAAACTATTTCATGTGAGATGTTGCGCACACATCTTGAACCTGATTGTTCAAGATGGACTTCATCAAATTAGGCACATCATTGATGACATCTATGAGAGTGTGTTGTATATCAACAGTTCCGAAAGCAGACTCAAGGTATTTTCTGAGATTGTTCAACAACTTAAATTGCCGTATCAGAAACTTATTCTTCATTGTAAAACAAGGTGGAATTCTACCTAAGAAATGTTGGCAACAACAATTAAGTTCAAAAAGGTTTTTCCAAGAGTGAAAGAGAGGGATATCAATTATCATAATAATCCGAGTGATGAGGATTGGGAGAAAATGGAGAAAGTTTGTGAAGTTTTGAAAGTATTTAGTGGTTCAACCAAACTCATTTCAGGAAGTGATTATCCAACGTCTAATTTATTCTTGAAGGAGGTGTGTGCAGTGAAATGTATGTTGGATAGTAAAAGTGAATCTGAAGATGATTTCATTAGAGTAATGGTTAGGAAAATGAAACATAAGTTTGATAAATATTGGGGGGAATGTAATATGTTGATGTCTGTGGCTGCTATATTGGATCCTCGGTTGAAAATAAGAGTTATTCAGTGGGCATTCCCTAAGATGTATTCTGAGACAAAAGGACGGGAAAATATGGTGACGGTTCGGGATGCATTGTATGAGTTATATGGGGAGTATGTTCAAGCTAACCAAGGTGTGACTATCGCCCGTGCTTCTACATCACAAGGGGATGGACATGGAGCCATTGGTGAGGTGGCTGCGGTTGAGGGAGCCGAGGCCTGGGATGATTTTACCACTTTTCTGGACGTGGTTGAAACTGAGCCTAGTCAGTCTGAGTTGGACTGTTATTTGGGAGAGGGATGCCATAAGTGTGTGGGAGATCATGACTCATTCGATGCCTTACAGTGGTGGAAGGCAAATTCAACCAAGTTTCCTGTATTGTCTACGATGGCTCGAGAGATACTAGCCATCCCGATCACTATGGTTGCTTCAGAGTCTGCATTCAGTGCTAGGAGTAGGGTTATTGATAGTTACCGAGATTCTTTGTCACCAGCTACGGTGGAGATGTTGTTATGTGGATGTGACTAGTGTCGCACTTTGAATGGAGTGAAGAAATGGTGCAGAGTAAGTTCCATTGCTTACATGTTTTGTTTAATTCTATATTTAAAATAACTTTATTCTAACCTATAGATTATTTTTCTTTTTTTCATCTTAGAAAGAGGAGGATGAGGATTACTTGGAGATTTAGCTTCCTATTCTATCAAGTGATGGGAGTCAGCAGATTGGTTGATTCACTCGTGAGTTATTGGCTGTGACAGTAGGATTCTGCAGGTCTATATTTATTACTTTTGTGTTGAGGTTTGCATTTTCATCTTTACGGTTTATATAAAATGACAGTTATACTTAACATGTTTCACATTAATTTGTTTGTAGGAGGAGTGGGGCTACAATAGACATACAGCCAATTATCTTTTGCTATTATATATATTTTTTGATGGATGGGGATGTCATTTGATGTATAGTTATGCTAATCCCCCATTTTGTTTTTGTGAAAACTTTATTAAGTCAAGTGAACTAAACAAAAAATATTTAGTTCACTTAACTTAATTTGTGGTACATACAGTATGTTAAATGATAATTTCTTAATAGTAGTAGCATTTCATTTAATGTGATTTTAAGTAGATTTAACTGTTGGGTGATGTATGAGGACAGAGAAGACATTCAGACAATTATGGAAAATTAAGTAGGTTTATTTTCATTTGACAAAATAAATGAAAAGTGAAAAATAAAACATATTTCGAGCTAGCTATCGATTGTTTTAATTATGGAAAATTACCTTTTCAATATTTTTCCAAGGAATTATCTATCCATCCACTCTTTTTGAATTCATGAGCAAACTTTGACTCAAATATTTATTCTTAGCTTACTACATGAAGCAATATAGAATTAATTTGTGTGACATGAAATACATGCAGCTATGATCATTAATTCATGTAACAAATAATTATTAAAAATTGCAGTTAATAGTTTCACATTATATATAAAATAATTAAACACACACTTTAGAAAAAAATGAGAATCTATTCTGGGAAATAAAATCCATATGGGATTGAATTAAAAAAAACATTTCATAGTCAGACTACTGTTGCCCAGCGAAGTTTTGTAAAAAAAAATTGAATTAAAAAAAAAAATATTATTTGGAGATGGCTCGGGAGCCGGCTCGAACTCGGCTCAGTAAGCCAGCTCACGAGCCGGCTTGAAATATGCCACATTCACTATCGAGCCGAGCCGAGCCATATAATTTCTTGCTCGGCTCGGCTCGGCTCGGCTCTGCTCGGTCACGAGCCGAGCTCGTTAAGCCAAAAACTCGGCTCGGCTCGGCTCAGCTCGATAACACCCCTAGCACCAACCCACTCTTCGTGACTTTCGGGTGGAGATCACAAAGCATCAACCCATCTTTCATAACTATCGGGTGGAGATCACAAAGCGTCAACCCGTTTTTCATAACTATCGGATGGAGATCACAAAGCACCTGCCCGTTTTTCATAACTATTGGGTGGAGATCACGAAGCACCTACCCGTTTTTAGTGCTCTTCTCATTCTCTCTACTCTTAGAGTAGTTCATTCACAAAGTTTCCTACTCTTTCTTAAGTCATTCCTCAAGGCACAATTAATGCCTATGGATGGTTCATCTCCCCTAATGCACTTATGAGATGCCAACATGCAATATTGCAAGAATTTAGGCTTACTACTCATACTCAAATCTCTTTTAGGCATTTCATCAAACAACTCAAGTGTATATAAAGACTTTACTATAACAATAGCTCTATTCCTTGCTCTAACCATCCCAAATGGGAGAAAACTCCCTCACATAGCTATAAATCTGCCAAGGAATAATACTTCTAAAAAGGTTTACTCAAAACCTTCCAAACTTCATCTCAACTACATCTTCTCATCACATATCAACACTTCTCTTAAATGAAGTGTATTCAATCACAACATGGATAAATAATCTCAATTTCATAGCATATAACATGCACATAACATGCATACATAATTGCTATTAAATCTATACTCAAAAAAGTTCTCAAACCTCAACTTGAGTGGGGATTTACTTACCTTGTAATGGAGAACTCTCACTAGTACTTTCCTTTCCTTTGCTTGCTTGACTTTTCTCTACCCTTTAAACAATAAAACCATACAACTTTAATATGCAAATATACACAAAACCTCACATCCAAAGCAAGAATCCTTACCTTAGGATGCCTTAGCTTGATTTTCTACCCCAATCACTCCAAAAAGCCCTCTAAAAATCCTTAAACTAATGAAAGAGGAATTGAGAGGAAGTAGGAAAGGAGAATGGCGGTGGAGAAGAAGAATGAAAGGTTTGCAATGACTTAAATCCTTTTAACTCAACTTATGGGCAAGCATTCCCATATTGCCCTTACTCTTCCTTGGGAATTTCATCTATATCCTTTAATTCATCACAATCACACCCCCACACCAACATATTTTCCTTGAAATTTTATTACATTTTACTCCCCACTTTTCCTACTAATTAGGGGTAGAATGGTCAAATTGCCCTTAGTGAAGAAAATATCTAAAACTTTCATAAATTTTTCAGCCGACCCATTGCCGCGGCGAAGACAATTCCGTCACCACGGCGAAACACTCCACAGCTCACCGTGGGCTAAAACACCTCTTCGCCGCGGCGAAGATTCTTCTTCGCCTCGGCGAAGCCTGTAACCCTAAAATTTCGCCAGTTCTTCATAATTTCCAGGGAAAACACTCAACCAAACCAATACATCCATTCAACTAAGGGCCAACCAAACAATATTAATAATAAACCGACTCAAATAAGAGCAAAAATAAGAAACATTAGCTACATACCTCAAGTGGGGCGTTACAATAATTAATTTTAACCTTGTATGTTCATCTTGTGATTGGGTTTTATTGCATAAAAATTTTAGTTTTTCTACGTTGTATTCTAATAAAAACCCTGTAAGTGGTATCAGAGCTTGGATTTAATATTTGCAATTAACTTCTTATAACATGTTTGATGATTTGTTAGAATGCATGTTTTAGGGTTTTCATGATTTGTTTTAATTGTAAAATTTGCTTAAATATGGATTTAATTTTTTTTTGATGAATTTTGGTTAAAAAATTAGGGTTTTAAAAAACCCTAAATTCTAGTGCGTTTGTTGGGGCTACGCGTGGTTCTAGGTTGCACGTAGCCACTATCCCAGGCTGTGCGTTGCTGCGCGCAGCTTGTTGCCCTTAGCTTCACGCTTACCATTCATGGCTTGTCCCCCCTAGGCACATGATTGGCCATTGTTAGCTGCACACTTCGCCACACACAACCTTGCCTCCCACCTGTCCCAGGTGCGTATCCCAAGCGATTGACGCTTGCCGTGCGCGTTTGTGCGAGATTGCCTTAACAAGCGCGACACTATCTCAAGTTGCGTGTGTTTATGAGTAGCATTGCCCTTTGCCACTCGCAACTGTGCGTGGCACTACCCTAAGTTACGCACATTCGAGCGTGACATGGTTGTGCCCTACGCCAAGCCATGCGCCTTGCACATGGCCTGTCTTAGACAGGCCAAGGCTACGCACCCAAGTGTGCAGCCACCCGGGAATTTAGTGTTGCGCATTTTCATGCACAACCTAGATGGGAGCAACCCGTTTTTCATGTGCTAGGATGTTTTTAGTCATCGATGCCAACATCCCATTGATGAGAGTTTCCCGAGAACTTTCGTGTGGAAATTGGAGGGTGAAGGGGTCCCTCCATTTGTTGTGGGAGAAGGACGATTTTGGGATTAAGAGTTGGTGTTTTGAACTTTTTTGCCAAAACATCAGAAATAGAATAATTGTTGTTGTTCTGGACTGTTCAGTTTGTCTTCAAACTAGACAAGGACTAAACTACAAATTTTGCAAGTTTAAGGACTAATAAAAATTCTACAAAATTAAAGGAGGTAATTCGTAATTTTACCTGGTAAATTTAAATTTGATTATTTGAATGATATGCAATATCTTATTGGTGTCCAATTATGCATGGCGTTTGGTACTTGGCCATTGATTGACCTTAGGTTTGTTTTACGATTTATGGGATGTATGAATTTTTGTTATTAAATAGGACCTGTGTGTCACGCCTTTCTCCTAAATTCTCAATGGACCTTTCTTCTCACCTAAATCCCCTCGAAGGTAACTCAAGGTTTCTATTTTATTCAATGTAAACAAGAATAGGCTTTGAAGATGAGGCGAAGGCGTGAAGACATCCCAAAGACTTTTAAAGTTGTAATAGTTTGCATGAACCTAGGTTGCCTTACCAATTCCTCAAAGCTCGAGGAATTTGGTTTTAGATTGGCCTTGTATCGACATGTTTTATTTTATCATAGAAAGTATGCTAAGGTTGAATGTTTTAACATGCCAGACTATAACATGCTAATAAGATAAAAATTGGTGAGATAATAAAGCAAAACCCCTTGTAAAGATATTAAGTCACAAAATAATAGCGAGCCTTCCATCACTATGGGATTGACCAAACCATTGTTAGTCATGGTCTCATCCGCCCCCGCGAAGAGTACACTTCTACCTAGGGGTGTTCAAAAGAACTAATTGGAACCGGAATCGACGGGTACCCAGGGTTTGGTTCCGGTTCCTACCCGGAATCGGCCATCAACAGGTAGGTTCCAGTTCCAAATTCTTGGAACTGTTACTGTACGGTTCTGATTCTAGTTCCTATAGTTAGGAACCGAAATACGGAGCCGAGACTAATATAAAATAAAATTAAAGAGTAGGGGGGTTAATAAAAACTTTTGTAGAAAAAGTAATGTGAATACATTTATATTTATATTTCATAACATTTAAAGTAAGTTGGTTTGACTTTTGAGAATCTATCTTTAGAAAGTAATGGAGTTTGTAATTTTGAATTTATAATTTGTAATTTTATTTTTGTTAACAGGTGCCATGTGGGGGGGTATTTGTAAGTTTTTAAGGGTTTTTTGCCATTTTAAAAACTTTTGGGGGGTCATGAATTTTTTAGGGTACCCAGAACCGAAACCGTTGTTACAGGTTTCGGTTTCGGTTCC